GCAGCCACGCCCCCGCTCCTCCTCCTGCCTGAAATCTGGGGTTCACGGGGTGGGCCGCGGCCACGCCCCCGCTCCTCCTCCCTGAAATCTGGGGGTCACGGGGTGGGCCGCGGCCACGCCCCCGCTCCTCCTCCTCCTCCCTGAAATCTGGGGGTCACGGGGTGGGCCGCAGCCACAGCCCCGCTCCTCCTCCTCCCTGAAATCTGGGGTTCACGGGGTGGGACGCAGCCACAGCCCTGCTCCTCCTCCTCCTCCCTGAAATCTGGGGGTCACGGGGTGGGACGCAGCCACAGCCCCGCTCCTCCTCCTCCCTGAAATTTGGGGTTCACGGGGTGGGCCGCAGCCACGTCCCCGCTCCTCCTCCTCCTCCCTGAAATCTGGGGGTCACGCGGTGGGCCGCGGCCACGCCCCCGCTCCTCCTCCTCCCTGAAATCTGGGGTTCACGGGGTGGGCTGCAGCCACGCCCCGCTCCTCCTAAGTCTGTCCCACCCGCCGCTGTGGCTCGTTTCTCCTCCATGTCCCCAGCCCTGGACTCTTCTAAGTCCCAGATCGGGGGTCCTGCAGCCTCTTGGAACCACACCGCCAGAATGGCCTCAACGTCTCCCCGGACATGTTCTTCCTCCCAGGCCCAGTGTCATCTCCCGGACTGTCCCTTGTAAGCAGGACACTTCTCCTGCCCCACCCCAACCCCCCCAGCTCCCAGGCCTGCGGTCCCTCGGGCCTCTTGAGCGACTCTCATTCCTGCCCTTCCACAGCCCGGCCTGGGTGCAGGCCCCCCAACTGCTGGGCATCCAACCTGTCCCTTCCCTACCTGTAACCCTCTGTGGCTCCCCAGTGCCCCCCGGACAGAGGCTAAGGCCTGGCATTTCGGCCCCTCAAGGATATAAGCCTAGCTTTTAGGGAGTTGGGGGTTGAACATGTTTCCCCAGGTTCCCAGATAGCCACGCAAGGTCATTATGAAACACCTGATAGAGTTTCCAAAAAGCCACCAAAACCACAGAACTTGGAGAATACAGAGCAGACAAGAGAAACAAAGAATAACCAGCAGCGCCACCTTGTGGAGGGACCCAGCACTGCCAAGGAACCAGCCGGCCCCTCACCAAAAAAAACGAGTCCCGGACCAAATGGTCCGGCTGCGCGCCTCACCTCCCAGCTCCGCTTCCAACATCACCTCCAGAAATTCAGAAACATCTGTGCGCCACTGCCCGCCGCTGTGACAGCCCCCGCCCCAGCTTCCAGCTTCGCTCTTCCCTGTGCGCTGCGTCCTTTGAGTTGCAACTCAGATATCTCCTCCTCCAACTCCAAGTCCCAGGTAGCGCCCGAAGCCTCACCTTGGGGCACGCGTCAGCAGCACAGTGACACAGACACGAGCAGCCGCTGCCCTAACCCCCGTCCGGTCCGGCCCACTTTCCTTAAATCCTTGTCGCTGTTAAATCCATCATCTTGGCCGGGCGCGGTGGCTCACGCCTGCAATCCTAGCACTCTGAGAGGCCGAGGAGGGCGGATTGCTCGAGGTCAGGAGTTCGAAACCAGCCTGAGCAAGATCGAGACCCCGTCTCTACTACAAATAGAAGGAAATTAATTGGCCAACTAACATATATAGAAAAAATTATCCGGGCATGGTGGCGCATGCCTGTAGTCCCAGCTACTCGGGAGGCTGAGGCAGGAGGATCGCTTAAGCCCAGGAGTCTGAGGTTGCTGTGAGCTAGGCTGACGCCACGGCACTCACTCTAGCCTGGGCAACAGAGTGGGACTCTGTCTCAAAAAAAAAAAAAAATCTATCCATCATCTCGTTTGCAGAGGAGGAAGGGAGGCCCAACTCTGGGTCACTCAGCAAGTCAGTGCAGCACCGGAATCTTCCAGCACCAAGGTCCAGGTGATACCCCCGGTGCCCGGGCCCCAGAGGCAAGACTGTCCTCCGAGCCCAGCCTGAGCTGCCCGGGAAGCCACCGGAGCCTCCGTGCACCTGTTCTCTGTGTGCGACCAGACCGGACCGCCTCTGCCTACTCGGGCATCTCTGCTTTTCTTCCCTGGTTTTTGCAGACATGGTTTCCAGCCCTGGAGCCCCCCCAGCCGTCAGCTCCAAGAACGACACCGTCCCCAAGGAGCCAGCCCTGCTGTCCACGTGCTCAGCTAGGGTGCAGCACCTTCTCTGCAGCGTCTGCGAGCCTGGGGGTCAGCTGAACAGTTTGGGGTCTGAGACGCCAGCCCCGCTGAGGCCCCAGGAGGCCAGAGATCCGAGCTGACCATCTCAGCCAACACACTGAATGCTTCCTGCCCGCCACGGCGTTTCCATCCTCACGCCACGCTGCGGGGTGTGCGCCATGGCCCCATTTTACAGATGAGGACGTGGAGGCCCAGAGAAGGCGAGCTGCTTGCCCAGGGCCGCACAGCTAGAAATGCTACTGCCTGGGACTGACCCCAGCTAGCCTGGCTCCAGGGAGAAAAGAGGGAGTCAGCAGGAGCTGGGGGAGGGTAGGAAGGGAAAGCTGCTCCGAACCAGGGCCCGCCAGCTGGCTCCCCATTGTGGAAGAGGTGGAGAGGGAGCCGCCGCCGAGAGCCTGCCTGCAGCGCCAGCTACTCCACCGGCCTTTCTCTCCGTCACCCCTCTGGTGGCTCCTCTGCTGTCCCTCCCCTCTCCATCCATTCACTCCCAAGTCCTCCCTCTGCTCTTTTGCCCACAGAGCCGGGAGGTGGGGGGCAAGTCTGGAATCGGCGGGGGTCCCGGGGCCCTGGCACCCCAAGTCTGCCAACCTCTGCCGTGACAGCTGCGGGTTACGGCATGTGTCTCACATGGTCCGTGCCCCCAACCACCTCACAGAGGGAGTACTAGGGTCCACGCTGCACCCAGAGGGAAACTGAGGCCCAGAGAAATGCTGTCCCTTGCACAAGATCACACAGCAGGAGGATGGCAGGGGCAGGTTCAAATGCCGGCCTGTGTGTTCAACCCCAGAATCTGAGCCCGTAACCACGGTAGCTGTGGTCTCCCCACTCTAGCCCCAGAGAGAGAGCAGGTCTGGGGTTAGGAGAGAAAACACTGGGGTGAGGGGAAACTGAGGCCGGGTGCCAGGACGGTCACATGGTGTAGCAGGGAGGGAGGGGGTGGGACAGGCTCACAGTAAGTTGGGTTAATGGTTAACCGGGTGGAGGAGGCCTCAGAGGGGGTGGAGATGGGGCTGGGACGAGGGCTCTGCCGTCGAGCAGAGAGGCGCCAGGCAGAGCCAAAGTCAAGTCTGGGCTCCGGGAAGGGGACTCACCCTCCTTCTCTGCCATGTCACAGCCTCTTGTTAATGATTCCCCGGCTGACCTCCCGGGCCGGGGTGGGACCTGTGGGGAGACGAACGGGGAGGCAGGACCTGGGGACCTCCACCAGCCCAATCCTGGCGCCCCAGTCCCAGGCGCCCGTCCAGGGAGGCTGGAGGGCCGGGGCCTTGGCCCGAGCACGCTGTGATCACGGACGCAGACTGCGCTGGGTTCAAGGCTGGGGTCAGCGTCTAAGCGGCCAGGGCACGACTGGGTTTGCAGGACCGGGGACCCCTGGGCCTGAGCCTGGGGAGGGAAGATCGGAGGATCGGAGCTCCTGGGCTTGCGGGAAGGGGGGGCGGAGGGGCCTCAACTCCCGCGTCCTGGGAAAGGAGGAATCCGGGGGGCCAGGACTCCCGAGCACGAGGGCGGAGGGGACAACTGAGGCCCGTCTCTGCGTCTGGAGGGAGATTGGGCTGGACGCCTCGGTCCTTGGGGAGAAGTCGAGGGCCACTGTCTGAGGTCCTGGGGCCCCGCTGTCGGGAGGCGGGCATCGGGCTGAGCAGGAGGTGAGGGAGCCCCTGTCCTTCGGGCTGGAACCCGAGTCCGAGTCCGGGGGCCCTGGCTCTTACCCTGGGGTCCGGCAGGCGGGGGCGGAGCTGCGAGGTGGTGCTGGCTCGGGGTCAGTCTCCAGGCCTGGGCAGGAGCATGGTGGCCCCGCAGCAGCGGGCGGCCGGGAGGCAGAGGCGTTGGGTTGGTGGCGTGGGGCCTGCTAGGCCGGGCTGCCTCACCTGAGGAGGAGGGGGCTGGGCGAGGGGCGGGGGAAGGGGCGGGGAGAGGCTGGACTACGGGATTGGCAGCGCTGGAGGCCACCTGGCTGGTGGGACAGGGCCTGCCTGGGCTGGACCTGGCGGCCCAGGACACCGTCTTGCCTCCAGCCTCCAGGGGGCCCAGGTGCGCCTGTCTGCGGGGAGGTGGGAGCAGGGACTGGCTTGGCCAGGGCCAGGGATGGCTGGAGCACGGAAGGACAGGGATTTGCAGGGGAGGCACTCAGACGGAGGCCCTGTCCAGCCCTGGGGCCATGCTGCCTGCCATTCCCTGCCCAGTTCCCAAACAGGGAAGTCCCACTGGACCCCGGCCCCCTTCCCTGCCCTGGCTCCAGCCCTGGCCGGGCCCATCCTCCCCCAGCCCCCTCCCCCAGCTGCTTTCCTACAAGTCACGGGGGCTGGTTTGCTTTGGCAGCCTCTCTGCCGCCTGCAGAAGTGACCTCTGAGCCAGGAAAGTCCTGGATGGGGGGGATGGGGGGGTTGGCCCGGAAAAGGCAGCACCGAGTGCCGAGCCCAGGCCAAGTGGCCGGAAGCAGATATACACTGCCCCACCAGCAGCCAAGGGCGTCCACGTCAGAGCCGGGGCCGGGTAAACACTCAGAGACACCAGGGTCACCGCCAGACACCTGCCTGTGGTCAGCCACACACCCACGCGCCCTCACACCACGGCTGTGCACCCCTGCCCCAAGCATCAGCCTGGTCTCTTCCCTCCGGGCCCCACGCCTGCTCCCTCCGGCTCCTTCCCCCCCACCTGCCACCCAGGCACCCCCCAACCTCCACATGAATCACACGCCAAGCCGCTGAGCCCGCCCTGCGCTCTTTCCCTGTCCTCAGCCCTCAAAGTGTGAGGCATGTCCCCGGTGGGGAAACTGAGGATTTGGGAGTGGGGCTGGAGAGGGTGCCTGGGCTCATGAGCGAGGAGACCGTGACTCAAGTCCAAGAATCTTTATTTCATGAACAAAACTACTTCTGTAAAGAGAGACAAGGCTGAACGGGCCCCGTTCTAAGTGGCCCCAGTCCCAGGCTGGTGAGAGAGGGTGGGTTGGGCCGGGGCAGGGGTGCATCACAGGGAGGGGGACCCCAGGTCCAGCCGGAGGAAGCGGGAGGGGGAACGAGGCTGGGGGTCGGAGTGGGCCCAGACCCCCTGCCCTGAACTCTCCCAGCCCGTCACGACCCCCCCCTGCAGGGGTGAGGCAGGGAGGGGCTGGCCCCAGAAGTGCGTGTCCCAAGCGGCCAATGTGTGCAAATCAGCAAGAAGGAGGGGTGCGGGGCCGCTGCCCCCGCCGTGCCGCCCCCTCCCCAAACAGGCAGCAGAAGCAGCGGGGGTGGGGCAGCGGCGGTATTGCTTGTCGGTCATGCATGGCGGTGCGCAGCGATGGGCAGGGAGGAAGGCTGGGTTGGGGTGCGAGCCGAGCCCCCCCCCCGCCCCGCCCACCCTGGCAGCTCCCTGGGCAGGACTCGGGGCCACGCAGAGGCCACCCGCAGAGGCCCAGGGTGGCCGAGCTGCGCCCGGATGTTCCCGTGAGGGCTAGCTCTTTCGTGAGGCGACCACAGGGCCTGGGGGAGGGAGAGAGAGGGAGTTAGGCGCCCGCGGGGCTGTGACACCCCCTTGCCCTCCCAGCGCCCGCCCCCCAGCCCCAGCTTACCGGGCTACTCGGCCACCTGCACGCCCGTGCAGTTCTCTTTGCTCTCCGAGGTGATGGCCAAGTATTCCGAGCTGTGGGGGAGGCCAGGTGCGCAGTGAGCCCAGGGTCAGTGTGGCCGGGCCCCAGGAGACCAAGGACGGCAAGTCCCCCAAGGGGCCCCGGTCGCCGCGCCTGTGCGTGCCCCCCCGCCACTCACGCGTTCTCTTGCGCGGCAGCCTCCGTGGCTGCGGAGATCTTCTTGTAGCAGTACACCATCTCCGCCACGAGCCAGATGGTCAACACCACGATGAGCACGTACATCATGATCTCGGACACGATGGACGCCATGTCCCTGTTGGCTGCAGGGCCAGGCGGGGGTCAGGCGGGAGCCGCGGGGACCGCGGGCGGCTCAGGAGGCTTGCTGTGTGAGCCTGGGCAAGTGGCTCGACCTCTCTGGGCCTCCGTTTTCCCCAAATGTAAAAAGTTGCCAATCCCAGTGCCTCCTTCACGAGAGAGCGTTGTGAGAATCAAATAAACTTTCAAAATCCTTAGAATCCTTAGTGCTTGACCTATAAACAGCACTCGATAAACAGCCACTAGTGTGAATACTGCCATTGCGTCCTAACTGGGGCAGGACGGCATCATGGTGGACAGCAGGGGTTCTGTCTGAGGCCAGACTGCCAGGGTTCGAATCCTGGCCCTGCCTCTTACTAGCTGTGCCACCTTAGGCAGATCACTCCCCGTCTCTGAGCCTCCACTCCCCGCTGGGTAATGTCAGTACGATCACACCCATGCCCTCTCCGGGGGCTGCTGGGGAGAGGAAATGAGTTAGCGTCCGTGACATGCTTGGCTGAGCGCGCAGCCGGCGCCGCCTGAGTGTTGGCTGTTTTCCGGAAACCCCACATCCTCTCCCCAGCGCTGGCCGCTGCCGTCCCCGGCGTCCTTTCGTTCAGCCTAAATTTAAACTGCAAAGGGAGCGCGGCCAGCCGGGGGACCAGGGTCGAAAGCCGCTCTGACGTCCTGCGGGTGGATTTCCGGGCGACCATCCCCCATCCCGGCCCTCCGGGACCTGCCGGCCGCGATCCCATTTCCCCGCCTTCCTCTCGCGTCTTCCTCCCCTGAGCCGGGCACCTTCCGCTGCGCCGCCCCGTACAGATGGCAGCGGGAGGCTTTCTGGGGCAGAGCAGGGTGGGTGCGGGGCCGGATGCCACCCCCACCCCACCCACCCGCACTCCCCCACGGGAGGAGCTGGGACAGCTCCCACGCCCCATTCATTCATTCATTCCTTCTTCGGTTTGCGCATTCAACAGACATCATTAATGCATGTCGTGCAATAGGTCTGGGTCAGGCTCGGTGCTAGGTTCTCTCTATCCGAGCATCTTCCCCATGCAGGAACCGCGCTGAGCTGGGCACACGGTGGCTAAAGCTCAGCGGTCGGATTTCTTGCCCGGCTCCTAGAACCTGACGCCCAGCTGGATTTAGGAGCAGGGCATTCCTGGCTGCCCCGCCTGGCCTTCCCACTTCCTCTCCAGCCAGATTCGGACGGTGATAGCCAGGGGTCTGGAGCCCGAGTCCCAGATAAGGACGCTCAGGCCCAGAGGGGAGAGGGTGTTAGGCCAGAGATGCACAGCCCAGATTGGACTCAAGTCCAAGTGTAACTGGCCGCAGGGCCCGAGCTCGCATCCGCTCTGGAAACATTCCACGAGCAGAGACACTTGGCGACTGCTGCCACATATGGTCACAGTCTCCACCGACCCACGCAGACAGCTCACGAGGTGGGACTGCCGCTACCCACACTGTACAGATGAGAAACTGAGGCGGGGGGGGGGGCGTCTCACGGGGTCACGCAGAAGGTCAGCAGAGGCACCTTCTCTAGGGAGACCTTTGATTTCTTCAAAACGCCCAAACCGGCCGGGCGTGGTGGTTCACGCCTGTAATCCTAGCACTCTGGGAGGCCGAGGTGGGCGGATTGCTCGAGGTCAGGAGTTCGAAACCAGCCTGAGCAAGAGCGAGACCCCGTCTCTACCATAAATAGAAAGAAATTAATTGGTCAACTAATATACATATAGAAAAAATTAGCCGGGCATGGTGGTGCATGCCTGTAGTCCCAGCTACTCGGGAGGCTGAGGCAGGAGGATCGCTTGAGCCCAGGAGTGTGAGGTTGCTGTGAGCTAGGCTGACACCATGGCACTCACTCTAGCCTGGGCAACAAAGTGAGACTCTGTCCAAAAAAAAAAAAAAACGCCCAAACCTTCCAAGAGCTTCACCTGCCCGGCCCGCCCAGGCAGGAAGTCCCAGCCCATCCGCTCCGCAGGCCAGGATTCTCACCGGCCTCAAAAATACGCCATGGCAGGCAATGCTACCAATGCAATAACATCGCGGGCAATAAAAAAAAAATACCATACCGTGATGAGTCATGTTAAAAATACTCTAGTATCTTGCATAGTGATGAACACAGCAGAGTGTTAACAAGAAATACTGAAAAATATCACAACATGATTGATAATATTTTTAAATACCATAGCATAGCATGGTGGGTAAGGATAAAAATATGATCATATGGTGGGGAACATCAAAAATACTCCAGTACGATGGATTATGGGATAAAATGCTATTATATGTTTGGCAATGCTGATATGGCATAACATAAACTACTATACTATAGTGGGTGATGTTAAAAAGGCAGTGCTATAATAAGGTGCATTAAACACACTAGAATTGGGTGGATAATGTGGAAAATACCAATTCTGCGAGGACAGTGTGAAGAGCTCCATATTGCGGTGAATATTGTTAAAAACATGACGGCCGGGCGTGGTGGCTCACACCTGTGATCCTAGCTCTCTGGGAGGCCGAGGTGGGAGGATTGCTCCAGGTCAAGAGTTCGAAACCAGCCTGAGCAAGAGCGAGACCCCCCATCCCTACTAAAAATAGAAGGAAATTAGCTGGAAAACTGAAAATATATAGAAAAAATTAGCCGGGCTAATGGTGGCACATGCCCATAGTCCCAGCTACTCTGGAGGCTGAGGCAGGAGGATCGCTTGAGCCCAGGAGTTTGAGGTTGCTGTGAGCTAGGCTGATGCCACAGCACTTACCCGGGCAACAGAGTGAGACTCTGTCTCAAAAAACAAAACAAAACAAAACAAAACACAGGCTGGGGAGGTAGTGTCACACGGTAGATAACGGTAAAAACGGGGCTCCACTGGGTTACCGCCCCACCCCCGTGCCCCAGACAGGACAGCACCCTGGGCAAAGGCTGAGCAACAAGGTGCAAAGAACCCGGGCAGCTGAATGGGGCCCGGGGTCCTCCCGTCCACGTCCCCCCTTGCCCCTGCACAGGTTCCCGAGACAGAAATAGCACGGAATGGCTCAGCCCCAGGATTTGAGGACATCTTCGCCACAGCAGCTCTGCCTTGTCCCCAGCACGAGGGCAGGGCTCCCCCTTCCCTGTCCGTGGACGCCCCCCCCTCGCCCCCCAGCATCGTGAGGTAGGCCAAGGAGCGGCTCAGTCTCATCCGCCAACTGCCTTCTGCTGCGCCACTTTGACAATAAACGTAAAAACGCTAATTATAAAAAGAAACCCACGGGCTCTGGCTGGCAGCAGAGCTCAGTGAATCATGCCAAGAACAGAGATGCAGGACGAGTTCAAACCCAGGTCCCCGCTGCGTGACCTTGGCCTCATCACCTTACCTCCCTGAGCCTCGGTTTCCCCATATGTAACATGGGGACAGGGACAGCCCCCAGCCCCGAGGGTGGGGAGGCTCAGCGGGGACTGCGTGGAAGGCTGAGGCCAGCTGAGGCCGGTGCCCGTCTCGGGGGAGGGAGGGGCGGTGCGTGTTGCCGTGAGGACGCGTGTGCTGGGGCCCAGGGGACACGCTTGCCCACGCTCTCTGCTGGCTCGGGGACTGGGAGATCTCCCGGGCTCGCCCAGCCAGCGGGCCACAGGGCCCCGGAAAATTCCAGTGTCTGTCAGCCAGCAGATGGCTCGGAGAAGGGGCCAAAGCAGCTCCAAAGCACAGGGGCCCCCAGACCCGCAGCGCCGGCCTCACCGGGCGCACCCCGATCTGCGGAGTCAGACCTGCACCTTAACGAGACTCCCCCGTGGCTGGAGTGCCCGGTGCAGCCCAGGAGCCCTGCGCTAGGGGACGTCCCCTCGCCCCGAGCACCAGGCCCTGCCGTGAGCTGGCCAGGCGCCAGCCACCGGCCCTCAACCTCGTGCTCCGTCCTGGTAACCCCCCATGACATGACGAGGGCTCGAACGACACCCTGAGAGGCAGAGACTGTCACCATCCCGGTCTCCAGCAGGACAACCCTGAGCTCAGAGACGGGGAGGCACCTGCCGGAGGACGCTCAGCACAGGCGACGGAGCTGGGGTTTGCGTGCAGAGCGTCCGCGGGGAGGGGCGGACCGGGCCCTCCGTGGACTGAAGGGAGACGGAGCCAGCGCTGCAGCCGGGCTGGGGGGGAGGTGCCGCTCCCCCCACCCTGCTGCTGTGGGCGGTTGGCTGGCCCAGGCACAGAGCCAGCCTGTCCCCTACCTGCCATCTGTCATCTGCCCCTCCAGCTGGCTCGCCGGTGGGCGGCGGGGCCCGCCTCACCTTTGTCCACCACCTCCAGGTGGATCTTCTTGACGACGCTGGTGTTGTGCTCGTAGTTCTCGAAGAAGAGCAGCCGGTAGACGTGGCACTCGTAGTCGCCGGAGTGGTTGTAGGTGACGTTGGTGATGAAGATGGACAGGTCCTGCAGGTCCTTGGTGCCCCGGCTGCCATTCCACACCACGCGGCCCTCAAAACGCTCATCCTCCTCCAGCTGCAGGACCTCGTTCTCGTAGCGCAGGATCTGGGGGTGACGGGGGTGGGGGGGCGTCACCGCCGGGGCCAGTTGTCTTCCCCCAACTGACCCCAGTGCTGTCCCCTGCCCGGACGCACACGGACACAACACACGCGAACTCAGGCACTTGGACCTTGGGCAGGAAGGGCCCGGGGGGGCTGGGGCTGTGCCTGGACCCCGTCACCCACCGACCTTACCTGTGGGCATGAGCACCCGCACGCTCACACCCATTCCCCGGCCACCCCCCCAAGCCCCTCCGGGCTTCCTGGGCCCTCGGGGCAGTTCTTCCCCAGCCACCGGCCACACTGCTCAGGCAGGCATGGGGCAGCCTGATCCCAGCTGCTGAGACCCCAATTCACGGTGCACCCCCCCCATACGTCATTCAAAATACACACATAACATAGAGGAAGTTAAAAAAAAAAAGTTCTGCTTTTCTTCCATCATGACTACCCTGACATTTTTGCAGGTGCCACATAAGTCCAGCAACATTTATTTCATGTCAGCCACGTGCCAGGTGCATCAACTCAGCCTTCACACACACTCACAGGCCGGGGACCACCCCGTCGTTAATGGAGGAGGAAACAGGTTCAGAGAGGCTCCGTGACTTGCCTAAAGTCACCAGCTGGTCAGGGGTGGAGCCAGAATGTGGAGGCAGGTCGTCAATCATAGCACGTTATTAAGAACAAGCAAACACCCGCCGCCCCGAGCCCCAGGCCCCCCCCTTCTGCTGGCGCCGGCGCCGGGCACCCGCACACCTTGACAAACTCCTCGGTGCCCTTCTGGCGGAAGGTCCACTCGGTGAAGGTCTCGGCGGTGGTCTCGCTGCGGCGCTTGCAGGAGATGCACAGAATTTTGAAGGTCATCCCGTACACGGCCTCGGTTTCCGAGTCCACCTCCACACAGCCCCCCCAGGCCGAGGTCACTGCGGGGACAGCAGGCTCAGGTCCAGCAGAGGCACCCGTCACCCCGGGCAATGCCAGGCTCCCCGGCTGCCGGCTTTCGGGCCCCTCGGAAGCCATCTGTCTCCCCTGGGTCGTGATGACGAGCGCACAGAGCTGGGTGCCAAGCTGGGCCCTGCCACTCGCCGCACGACCTTGGCAAGGCACGCGTCTTCTGCGAGCCTCGGTTTCCCTCTCCGTGTCAGGCGAAAGAAAGCATTGCCTTTGCTCCCGGAGGGGGTCGGGTAGACCCTGGCACACAGGAGGTGCCCACACGCGGGCTGCCAGTGTGGTCAGTCACGCAAGAGTCTTTGCCACCCGAGTACCCGTCTGGCTCATCAGAAAGCCACCTGCCCGAGGTACCTGAGCATCTAGGTGGTGGGACTAGGATGCCAGCTGTGTTAGCCCTTCAGGGCGGCAGAGTGATTTCCACCAGTAAGAGGGTCTTCAAAACCGGCCAGCCCCAGATGACTCGGGCTGGGGGCAAGGAAGGCCTGGGGGTGGGTAGGTCGGGGCACTGGAGTCGGGGCAGACCCACACCCCAGCCCTGCTCCCCAGATCCACAGCCCCCGCGACGTTCCACGGCTCCCAACTACGCCTGCCTGTGTCCCCTACTCCCCAGGCTCTGTCACCTCCGCGCCCTCCCCATCAGCTTCTCCAAACTCTTTCCTGCCTCAGGGCCTTTGCATCTCCTCCGGGATGCCATCCCGCAGGTGCCCGCCAGCTCCTTCCTGTCTCCCAGGGCTCACTAGCTAATGCCCGGTCTCTTCAGCTCTGGCTCTGGGTCTTTTCCTTGTCCCCAATCTCTCGGTCCCTTAATCCTCAGGACTTCTGTCCGCCACCCCCGCTGGCTGCTGTCTCTTTCAGTCTCTCCGGGCACCTCTGTCTTGGTCTCCCCCAGCTGTGTCCCTCTTTGGGGGTTCTCTGAACGTTCCTCCACTCGTGTCCTCTCTCCAGGCTCGCGTTAGTCTCTGTCCCCATCTCTCCGTGTCTCTCCCTCTTCCAACTCCATCCCGATTCTCTCCGTGGCTCCGTCTCCCCCTCGCCTCTCCATCTCTGCCTCTCCCAAGTTTCTCTCTGTCCACCGCTCAGACTGTGACACGCTCGCTGTCCCTCTCTCGTACCCTCTCTCTGCCCTGCTTCCCACTGTCCGACACCTCGTCCCCAGTCGCCCGGCGCAGCGCTCGGGCACCGAGTCCTTCTCTGTCCCTCGCCCCCGCCCTCCCGTCCCTATCTCTCCCGGGTATCTCGGTCTCTCCGTCCGCGTCGCCGGGCGCCGCCTTCCCCCCACCCCCGCCCGCGGCTGTGGGTGTCACATTGCAGCCTGCGGGACTCCCGGAGCAGCTGACTCCGCGTTTCCTCGCCCCCGGCCGGGCGCCCGCAGCCTGGAGGCTGTGCCAGCCCGGCCCCCGCCCGCTCGCGCCCACCGCACCTCCGCCGCCCTCCGTGGCCCGGCACAACTTCGGAAGCCGACTTGGCGGGGCCGGGGGCTGGGCCGGGGGCTGCCCTGGCGCCGCCGCGCCGAGTCCCGAGCGCGAATCCCGCCGCCCCGCCCGCGCCCCCGCCGCGCGGCGCGCCCCCGCGCCACTCACCCAGTGCCGCGCCGACCACGAAGGCCAGCAGCGTCCCCATGGCTGCGCCGCGCACGCTGCGCGCCCCTCCCGGGCCGCGGGTATGGATAGCGGGGCGAGAGGCGGCGGGACCCGGCGGCGGGCAGAATGTCCCCGGGAGCGCGCGGGCGCAGCAGCTGCGGCTCTGGGACCGGCGAGGGGGGAGGAGGGGGGGCGCGGCCCCCCCGCTCCGGTTACCGCCGGGGGCCCAGCCCCGGGGCCCGGCGTCCGGGCATCCCCGCCGCGCGGGCGGCGGCCGCTGCTGGGGCTGGGGCGCAGGCGCGCGCGGCCGGGCGCATCCGCCAGGTGCGCCGACCCCGGCCCGGCTCCGGCTCGGCGCGCTCGGGCGCGGACCGCGGTCTCCTGCGCACTGCAGCGGCGGCGGCGGCGGCGGCCCGGGAGGGAGGAGGCAGGAGAGGGAGGGGGCGGGATGAATCACCGCGGGGGGAGGGCGCGGCCGCCCAGCCTTTGCCGCAGCGGCACCGGCCTCTGGGGTGGCGCAGGGACCGCGGCTTCTGGGCACGGGCGCGCGGACGAGGTGTCTCCGAGCCCGCCGGACTCTGGCGACCCCCGTCTTCGTAGTCTGGGAAAGGTCACCCCCAGAGTCACAGAAGGACTTAGAGGGCAGTTTGGGGGCCGGACCTCCGACTTCAGACTATAGAGGTCATCTTCGCGAGTTTGAGGGAGGCTTGGCTGGGACCTCCAAGTGCTAGCCCCCTCCAATCCCCGATATCCTATCCGGGACGGAGGTCACCGTGCGGGGACCAAGCAGGCATGGGAGGGGTCCAGGCTCTGGCTGCCGACGTACCCCAGACCCCACCCCGGCAGGTGGGCACCCTGGAGTCCAAGCCAGAGAGGCTGCTCTGGGGGAGTTTGGAGGCGCTGTTTCAGGGCGAGCCCCCCTCCGCGATTCCCCCAGCACCCCTTTATTTCTCTGACGTCACCTTCTACTTCTCTCCTCCCACTCCACTCTGGCTACCCGGGTCCCGGCAGCTCCCAGCGCAAGGAGCTCGTTCCTGCCTCAGGGCCTTGGTCCCTGCTCTTCCGTCTGGCTGGACCACCCTTCCGCCCCGTGCAGCTTGGACTCCAGTGTCACCTTCGTCAGGTCCCCTGTGTTCATCCAGGGCAAACTGCCTCCCTCCCGCCTCACTTGACCTCCTTTACTCTTGTTTGGTTTTTTTTCTTTTTTTTTTTTTTCACAGCAGTGTCACTACCTGACATCATGTTCTTCCTTTACACAGTTTTTGCACTTCCTGTCCTTGCAACCCTGGCATGTAAGATCCCGCAGGGTGAGGACACCCGCCCGGGTACCACTGTCTCTAGCAGCTGGACCTGCGCCTGCCACCCTGTAGGTAATTGACAGATATTTGTCAAATGAATAAATAAACGTGGGTGCTTATTAAACCCTTGTGATCCACTGAACCCACTTCTCCCTTCCCTAACCTTTATGGCAAATTCTATTATCCCTGTTTTCCAGATGGGGAAACTGAGGCTGGGAGAGGACCGCTCTCTTGCTCGGGGTCGTGCTGCTGGCCCTAGGTGGATCTGAAATCCTGCCCCAGCACCGGTGGCAGCTTGTCCTACCGGCAGGTTCCGCCGGATGGAGAGTAGGGGTGGGAGTGACCCTTCCTGGGGGTCCTACCCTTCAGTTCTGGGTGGGGTGAAGCCCTAGAATCGCCCTAGCCCAGCCCTGCTGGGCAGGAGGAACCAGGGTGTGGGGCAAGCCCAGGGCACAGTGGCAGGGAGCCAGGGACATTGGACATCTTTGTGGTCCGGGCGTCTAGGCCAGCACCTCCGGAGCTGTGAAATTCCCCTGCAGAAAATAACCCTCTCGCCGATCCGGGCCCTTCCTCCGGTGGGGGATGGGAGGTGGAGGCCTGGTGAGGACAGGCCTCAGCCCCGGACAGGAGGCACCTCCCAACAGCCCTACAAGCCGATGTTCGCCGAGCACCTTCTATGGGCTCAGTGCTGTTCCAGGTACTCTACTCTTATTAGCTCATTTAATTCTTCCTACAAGATGGATATTACCATTATGCCCGTGTTACAGGTATGGGAAACTGAGGCTCATGGAGGGTAACATGCCAAGATCACACAGCTGGAGGGTAGGAGAGGCTAGCTCTGCCCTGGGCCACTCGAGATCCCCCTGCCTCCATCCAACCCCTCCTCCAGTCCCCTGCCCCAAGCCATCAGTTAAGACGATTCCGACAGCCAGGTGTGTGGCATGCATGCCAAAGGTCTCTTCAGCCCTCGCTCACTCTGGGCCCAGCACTGGGTTTCAGAGAGACAGATCTGGGTTCCACCTGGACTGGAGGAGACTCTGCCTCTAAGCCCATTTCCTCTTCCGGAAAACAGGGGTCCAAGCAGCCTCAACCTGCATGGGCTCTTGTGGGGTCTCGAAGGGGGTCAGGACCTTGCATCTTAATGCGGAGGCCCCAGCGGCCAGGCCCGGAGTCTTTCAGGCGCGTGAATCTTTATTCGTCTCCACCTCGTGAAGCCACCGTGAGAATAAAATGCACATCCGATCTTGGCACAGAGCTTGGTACATGTTTGGTGCTCACTACACCAGTGACTGGTTTTCCTCTCAATTTTTATGCAATAAGTGTAGCATGTATTGAATACTTGCTCTGTGCCTGTTGTAAGTAGGTCCTGCTGTAAGTAGCCACGTTTATTAACTCCTTGAACTCATCATGGCAGTTCTCAAAGTGTGTTCCCCGGGAGGCAGCAGCAGCAGCAGCATCACTCGGGGACTCGCTAGAAAGGCAGAATCTCGGGCCTGCCCCTGCGGATCAGAAATTCTTGGGGACGGGGGCCCAGCGGTCTGCGTTTTAAGATGCCCTCTGGGAGATTCTGATGCAGCTAATGCTTGAGAACCACTCACTCCTAACAACCCCGAGAGACAGGCGCTGCGAGCACCCCACTGTACAGGAAAGAAAACTGAAGCTCAAAGAGCGTGACCCGCTCCAGACGGCCTGACCGTGCAGAGGCAGGATTTGAACCCAGGCCACCAGCGCCTGTCCTCAGAGCTCCAGCTCTGGACTCTGATGACGCAGGGCTTGCGTGAGATGCTGAGAAAACGCCAGATCGTTTCAGTGACCGTGCCCCCCCCCCAGCAGCGGGATCGAGGACAGCAGGCGGCCCCGCCCACCCCCAGGCACAGCCACAGCCATTTCCAACGCTTTATTGGGGCTCCCTCAGCCCCAAATAAATATAATACATTAAACCCAGCGCGGAGGGAATCGTGCACCCCGGGAGGCGCCTCCCCCCCACAACCCCAGCCGGGCAAAATAAGTTAGAGGGGGGCCCCGCCAGAGGCCAGGCCCGCTCCCTGGTCTAAAGTGCATCTCAGTTCTGTGGTCCCCACGTCTGCACGGTCCCCGTCGGGCCGCCGGGAGGGGCGGGCGGGAGGTGCCCGGCGCTCGCACCGTGCCAGCAGTGGCCGCCAAGGCTGTGTGTGTCTGTCGGTTGGAGAGGAGGGCTGCGGGGCCAGGCGTCCTCAGGAGAAGCTGTCCTCCGGCCGGGGCTGGGCGTCGAAGGCAGGGTCTGAGACGGTGATGCCTTGGTGCAGCTTCTCCAGAGAGAACTTCATCTGGAGGGAGGGGAGGGTCATGCTCACGCCCCTGTCCCCGCCAGGGGACACTCGGTGAGAAGACCAGAGTCCCAGTGCACCCGGTTTAACTTCTCAGAGGAAGGGACTTCGCGAGCACCTGGGACGCAGGTGGCCTGGGTTCAAATCCCAGCCCTGCGGCTCTCCGCGTAACCTTGGGCAAATAAATCACTAACCGCCCTGGGCCCAGTCCCCTCATCCGAAACATGGGCCAGTGACACATCTGCGTCACGGGATGGCGTCAGGGGTCTGACGAGCACGGTGGGTGCTCAGTGCACGTCAGCTGTAGTTACTGCCCCGCCAGGACCTGCTGTGTGCCTGGCGCATGCGCAGAACCGCAAACGCGCAGAACCGCAAACGCGCAGAACCGCAAACGCGCAGGCAGAGCGCACGGCCTGCCCGGGACTGTTGCAAGTGTGGCGCGCTGAATCGTCATGACAGTCCTTCAGGTAGCATGCCACGGACAGAGGAGGAGGTATAGGCACGCACAAGGTCACATGCCAGGTCACACTCCAGATGCTGCCCCTGACCTGCATGGCATGTCTGGGCCGACCCCCTTTAGGAGATGAGGCCCCAGTGTCCTTTGGAGAACGTCGCGCTCTCAGACCACGTGACCCCTTAGTCGCCCCAAAGTGGGGCAAGGGGCTTGGGGACCCAGCCTGGCTGTCCCGGGCTGCCGCACCCGGTTCAGGGGCGGGGCCTGCCGCCTCCGCAGCCCACGGGGAGCGAGCCCTGCCCTGTGGCCGCCAGCCCGGAGCGGAGCGGCAGGTGCCGCCGAGGTCGTCCTGGGAGACAGGGTGCCCCCAAAGTAAAGCCAGAGTGGAGACAGGGCGAGGGACTGATTCTTGCCGCTCTTCGGTGGCCAGACCCAGCCGTGCCCGAAGCGAGACCCCTGGACGTCTTCCCAGCATGGGAGCCATTGAACTCGCTCTTCCATCCTGTGGGTCTCCCCGGCACCCCGGTCAGGGGGACTTTGGGTGGCTCCGGCATTTCACAGAGGGGGACACAGGCCCAGAGTGGGGCAGGCCCTGCAGTCCCCCACCCCTGCCCTGCCCCCGCAGCCCCCCACCCCTGCCCTGCCCCCACAGCCCCCCACCCCTGCCCCGCCCCCGCAGCCCCGGCCCCTCCTACCTCGTCCAGGAGCTCCACGGAGGCCCGCAGGATCCGCCTCCACTTGTGCACCTCCACGCTGTGGAACTGCTTCTGCAGGGCCAGGATCTCGGCCCACTCCGTGGCCGTCTGGGGGAACTTGCTGTGGGGACGCAGGGCTCGGTTGGGGCCTCGGTCTCCCCCGACCTGCCCAAGCCCCCAGCCCCCAGGACCCCCCGCTCACCCCTTGGCCAGGGCCAGGCTGTGCCAGGACTCGAAGGTGTGGGCCGTCCTCTCCAGGGACCAGAGGCGGTAGAAGAGGAGGACGTTGAGGGCGATGAGGATGATGAGGCTGGGGACAGGGGTCAGGGGTCAGAGGTCAGCAGTCCTGGGCTACAGATGCTCCCCCAAGTCGGGCACTGAGCTCTGGACCCCCCCACACAACTACACCCTGAAGGGGTACCATGACTACCCCACTTCTCGGAGGAGAAAACTGAGGCTCAGAGAGGGTGACAGACATGCCTAGGGTTGCACAGCCCATAAGCAGAAAGTCAGGGTTCAAACTCTGATGCGATGCCCATGCCCTGGACCACCAGGCCAGGCCCCCTCTCTGGGGGGCACAGGGTGTGGAGGAGAGGCCGCAGCGGGGTGGGACCGGGAGGGGCGAGCAGGTGGAGGGCGCAGCAGCCTACCTGGCGCAGATCCTGCGGCGGCAATGAGGGGAGACACGGAGATGAGCCGCCCGTCCCGCCCGGCCGCCCGCCCCTCCTCGCCCTGCGCAGCTCGGCCCGGCTGGCCGCAGACCCTCCCCCGGGGCCAGCACCGGGCCAGTGAGGCCTGGAGAGGCTGAGCCTGCAGCCCACCCGACCCTCGCCTCTCTCTCGGGGTCTGCTGGGAGCCGGGACCTCGCTTCCAGGAAGCCCTCCCTGCCCTCACATAGCCCCCGGCCCACTCCTCCAGCGGGCCAGGCGTCTCCACTGTGCACGGAGCTCTGCTGGCCACACCCCAAACATCCTCTCGTCCCATCCTTGCTGGGCGAGGAGCCCGCGCTCCCGCTTAAGCAGAGAGACCCAGAGAGGCCAAGCGCTTGCCCAAAGTCACACAGCCGGGACGCAGATCCCGGCCCGTCTGACCCCCAAGCCCGGCCAAGCTACTCACACGACGCTAATGAGCACCAGGGCGCCGGGGATGCCTGCCCCGGGGCCCTGGTCCGAGGAGGACTCTGAGAAGCGGGAGCCCAGGGAGCCTGCAGGAGAGCAGAGGAGTCAGACTCCCGTCCCGGCCGCCCCTCCGCCAGCCCCAGCTCCCCGGCCCGCCCAACCACACGCACCCGGGGCGTGCACGCCAGCCCGGGCGCAGGGGTCAGGGTCTGGGTGCTGGGGCCCGTCGCCGTGGCCCCTCCAGCTCAGGGGCCGCTTCCGCCGCCGCAGGCCCGACAGCAGCCCTCGGGCGTCCTTGCCGCCTTCCTCCAGGGACAGCTTCTCCGCCTTGGCGAGCTCTCGCTCTGGGGAGGGAAGAGCGGGCTCGGGATGCCTGCACCCAGCCGGGCCACCGCCCGCCTGCCCCGCCCCGGCCGGCCGGCCTTCTGTCCCCTACCCAGGTGGTGGAAGTAATCCTCAATGCCGCTCCACGAGTTCTTCTCAATGAGCGACTTCACGAGGCTCCAGGGCTGCTTCCGGTATCGGATCTCCGAGGACACTCTGGGCCGGGAGAACAGGGCAAGGGGCGGGGTCTGCGTCCAGCCCTGGCCGCCCCACCCCAGGCAGGTTCCTCCCTCCCTCCCTCCCGGTCACAGACAAGACAGCTGGGGTCCCGCCGCCTGGCTTCCCTGGACCCCCCACTGATACCACGAGCTGGCCAGCTCAGCCCTCGGGCCCTTCCCCTTCCACGCCCCTACCGGGCAGGTCTCCCGGCGGCCGGCTCACGCACCCCAACTGCAGCGGGGCTCTCAGAGGCAGCACAGCCCAGGCCGTGCCCAAGCCCACCCCCCACCTCCCCCATCTCGGGTCTTCTAGTGGCTCAGGCCAGACACCTTGGGGCTCCTCCCTTTCCCTCACCCCTGCACCCAGTCACTCAGCAAACCCTGTCGGCTCCGCCTCTAAAATCCCTCCAGAATCTAAACCCTTCCCCCCTGCACTGCCCCCTCCATCCCTGGCCCGGCCTCCATCCCTTCCCGCCTGGACACCCCCGCAGCCTCCTCCCTGGTCTCCTGCTCTGTCCCTGTCCCCACGGTCTGCTCCCCACCTGGAGCTCCGGAGAGCCTGGGAACCCCCGAGTCAGGTCGGGGATTCTGCCTGGTCTTGCTGTACCCCAGCGACTCGAGGCTCCGACCACCTCCGCGCCCTCTGCAGACGGGAGGAGCGGTCCCCAGGGCCACCCTCTGTCTGCCTTCTGCTATTCTGAGCGCCACAGGGGCTCAGGGACCCGACACTTCTGTCCCTCGGCCAGTGTGGGAACCGACGTGCTGCCGTCGACCTGGGGCTGGGGCAGGGACCCTGGGCCCCCCCAGGGGCCAGGTGGAGGGCCCGGGCGCCGCTCACCGGAGCCGGGCCTTGTTGCGGGCGACGCCCAGGATGCAGTAGCGGTGGGCGGTGTAGAAGTAGTCCTGGTAGGGGATGCCCTGCGTCAGCACCTCCGAGTCCACCACGCAGCCCCCCGCCTGCGGGCCGCGCCGGAACAGCGTCTGCGGACACGGGCGGGAGGTCAGCGCCCGCCACCCTCCAGGCTGCCCTGCCTGCCCGGCCGCCCGCCCGGCTCACCTGGGTCTCCACCACGGAGGCGCTCTTGGGGCCCAGTGGGTTGTTGATGGGAATGGTGTAGGTGAGCACGCGGCGCTGGTGG